CGTTCCTAGTTACCCTGGTGAACTTCAGACGTTGTGTAACGTTCCTAGTTACCCTGGTGAACTTCAGACGTTGTGTAACGTTCCTAGTTACCCTGGTGAACTTCAGACGTTGTGTAACGTTCCTAGTTACCCTGGTGAACTTCAGACGTTGTGTAACGTTCCTAGTTACCCTGGTGAACTTCAGACGTTGTGTAACGTTCCTAGTTACCCTGGTGAACTTCAGACGTTGTGTAACGTTCCTAGTTACCCTGGTGAACTTCAGACGTTGTGTAACGTTCCTAGTTACCCTGGTGAACTTCAGACGTTGTGTAACGTTCCTAGTTACCCTGGTGAACTTCAGACGTTGTGTAACGTTCCTAGTTACCCTGGTGAACTTCAGACGTTGTGTAACGTTCCTAGTTACCCTGGTGAACTTCAGACGTTGTGTAACGTTCCTAGTTACCCTGGTGAACTTCAGACGTTGTGTAACGTTCCTAGTTACCCTGGTGAACTTCAGACGTTGTGTAACGTTCCTAGTTACCCTGGTGAACTTCAGACGTTGTGTAACGTTCCTAGTTACCCTGGTGAACTTCAGACGTTGTGTAACGTTCCTAGTTACCCTGGTGAACTTCAGACGTTGTGTAACGTTCCTAGTTACCCTGGTGAACTTCAGACGTTGTGTAACGTTCCTAGTTACCCTGGTGAACTTCAGACGTTGTGTAACGTTCCTAGTTACCCTGGTGAACTTCAGACGTTGTGTAACGTTCCTAGTTACCCTGGTGAACTTCAGACGTTGTGTAACGTTCCTAGTTACCCTGGTGAACTTCAGACGTTGTGTAACGTTCCTAGTTACCCTGGTGAACTTCAGACGTTGTGTAACGTTCCTAGTTACCCTGGTGAACTTCAGACGTTGTGTAACGTTCCTAGTTACCCTGGTGAACTTCAGACGTTGTGTAACGTTCCTAGTTACCCTGGTGAACTTCAGACGTTGTGTAACGTTCCTAGTTACCCTGGTGAACTTCAGACGTTGTGTAACGTTCCTAGTTACCCTGGTGAACTTCAGACGTTGTGTAACGTTCCTAGTTACCCTGGTGAACTTCAGACGTTGTGTAACGTTCCTAGTTACCCTGGTGAACTTCAGACGTTGTGTAACGTTCCTAGTTACCCTGGTGAACTTCAGACGTTGTGTAACGTTCCTAGTTACCCTGGTGAACTTCAGACGTTGTGTAACGTTCCTAGTTACCCTGGTGAACTTCAGACGTCCAAAAGGACCCACATATTTTGTTGCCAACTACAGAACCTGCACACGGTCTGGAACATTTCTTAGTTAAGAAGTGGAAAATTTAGACTTGATAATTTCTAACATATCAACTGCAACCTGCAGAAGCTGAGCTTAGTTTCAGTATTTGTATCTGGATGACAAAGTAATGTTTTCAAACATGAGGTAATATTCTGAAGGGTGAGACAACAGTTTAAGGTAGTGCTCTAATAAGCTCCTGTCAGTGAAGAAACTACTATTAAGGTACAAATAAGGGAATGGGTCAATAATTACAGAAATTACTTGATATGAAAATATCTTCTACAGACATTGGAGTGAGAAAAAACAGTACAAATATAAGGAATAGTTTTCTCTTGGTCAGGTTATGAGGTCAGGTTATTCAAAAATGGTCATGAAATTGTAAAATGAAATTGATCCTTTGCTATCTTATAATCTTCTTCTATTGTAATAATTATATCAATATACATAATGTATGAAACTCTTTAATGGTAGCACACTCGTGTAAACACAGTTGCTTCCCTTGCTACACATGTACATTGAGCTTGATTTTTTCCGTCGGTAAGTAGCCGTCCAGCAGATAACCTGGAATGGTATCAACTCATACATGTACACCTACATATAGTGAAAACAATCTTCATGTTTCTATTAATGTTTTATTTAGCGAAAATTCAATACAAAATATAAAGTACAATTTTTCCTTAGGCGTATTCTCGTGAGAATGAGATGCAACTCTATCATCTGTTGCTAGGGAAAGTCATGTATGGTTGCCTTGCCCTCTCACACTTACACAAGTAACTTTTACAGACGGTACTCTGGTGTAGGATTAACAAACGTGTTGTCATTGAGATTGTTTAATGATTATATTACCATTAATATTGCCACCCTGTCTATAATGCAGTTCTGTATACATATAGTATAGTGCAGTTCTGTATACATAGTATAGTGCAGTTCTGTATACATAATATAGTGCAGTTCTGTATACATAGTATAGTGCAGTTCTGTATACATAGTATAGTGCCATTCTGTATACATAGTATAGTGCTATTCTGTATACCTAGTATAGTGCTAGGATTGGTTTAGTTCCCATGACCTTGTACATTGCTGTAGTACTACCTTTTCTCTGATCTCTTTGTGTGTATCATTGATTTATTTCTTATACTGTAGACATGCTAACTGAAAAATTCTAAATTTTGAAAACCATTGGATATCAAAACCCCATATTCCAACATGTTATAGATTGCTATACTGATGTACTGGTAGTATGTGTAGGAGTGTTTGTAATATAATTACGCTACATTATATGTACATATTCTGTAATCACAGAATCCATGACTCAACCTAAGCTCAGGAGCTCTGTCCATTAAGCTGCAAATATCATCTGTAATGTATAATGTTTTTATATATATATATGTGACCTTGATTTGATCATTTCTCTCTCAGCATTTGATTGATGTCATAAGAGTTTATTTTCTAAATCAAATTATTAATGTAACTTATAAGTTACAAACTTGTCAACCACTGGAAGTTGAATATCTGGGCCCAGTTGTTAAAAAGGTGGTTAGCTTAATCACTGTCTAATGACATTTTTTAACCTTTAACTCATTCACCCCTGAAGACACATTTGAACTCTTCCAATTCATTGGTTGGAACAGTTCATTATGAAATTTCAGGGGTGAATGAGTTAATAATACTGTCAATGGTTGCGTTTTAAAGTTACACAGAAATAGATATTTGCGCTAACCACTGATGAAGCTAATCACCTTGTGAACAACTAGGCCCAGATCATGGCTAGGTATTGATTCTAAGGATATATCAGATGGAGTTTTAACATGTTGATTCCATAGTTTGATAATCTGTTTACAATGTTTCGACTAGCTAGACTAGCCATCATCAGAACAATGGCATAAATTTTTCGAGAGAAAAGGTAAATTACTGCTCAGCTGTGACGTAATAATATTTATAGTTATTGGTTGTGTTTTAAAAATTAGAATAAATAAAATGTTTGCTAATCACCGATTATGCTGTTAAATCACCGTAACAACAACTGGGTCCTTGATACCAAAATGCAATAGTGTACATATAGTCATTGATGTTTACCAAAATACAATAGTGTACATAGTCATCGATAGACCTCGATGTAAATATATAAATACTTCTGTCATTTCTTTTGCTACTGTTGAATCCTGCAGAAACAACATTCGTTTTACTACTGGATAATGTTTAAGTAACATTGTACAATTAAACTTATCATGGTAGACATCAGAGTTTATAGATGTCCGATCGGTTTCGATTGGTGTCTTGTGTGACAGATTCCTTATGACTATATTATGAGTGAGGTTTATAGATGTTCGATCGGTTTCAATTTGTGTCTTGTATGACAGATTCCCTATGACTATATCATGAGTGAGGTTTATAGATGTCCGATGGGTTTCGATTGATGTCTTATGTGACAGATTCCCTATGACTATATCATGAGTGAGGTTTATAGATGTCCGATCGGTTTCGATTGGTGTCTTGTGTGACAGATTCCTTATGACTATATTATGAGTGAGGTTTATAGATGTTCGATCGGTTTCAATTTGTGTCTTGTATGACAGATTCCCTATGACTATATCATGAGTGAGGTTTATAGATGTCCGATGGGTTTCGATTGGTGTCTTGTGTGACAGATTCCCTATGACTATATTATGAGTGAGGAAGTAATATAACATTTGTTTGTGTCATTATTTTGTCTCTTAGATGTTTATTGTGTTATTATCTTTGGATGCTGAGCATCGCACAAGGACGAGTAAAGCTTATGTATGATATGGGCATGAAATTAGCATGACACAGCATGACAAGAGTATGACAAGAGTATGACGTGACTATGACATAGTATGGAGTGAGTATCACATGATTATGATGTGAGTGTGACGTGAGTATGACATGGGCAAGAGTATATAATAGGATCTTACACCAGTTTCCATTTCATATGAGATTTATGAAACGAGTCTTAGAATTAAAATAAACAAATTGTGACGAGTTTCATAAAGTTCATATGAAATGAAAACAAATGTATGATCCTTTTAAACACATACGTAGTCAAGATTTGTGACATTTATTCGTGTAAAACGACAACATTCATGCATTCTTGAAATATAAAAAGCCACCATTTTGACTCCCGTGTGTAAGGCTGTGAGGTCATGTACTTGTCCTAGGTGTGATGTCACAATTGAAACTTACAACCAATCACAGGGCTGATAGGTCACATTACATGGGTTAATACGCAAAAAAATATGACATGGGTATTTTCACTGGATATCACAGTACATTATGTGATAAGACATAGTACATATGACTTGAGTATAACGAGCATTTTAAGTGGATGCTCCAATCACTATATTTCTAATGCTTTCTTTATATTTATATAGCTGATCATTAATATATGTCTGTTTATTATCCTAGGTTTTATCACCAAGATCTAGCACTAGATTTAGCTGTCTTCCTTACATTTCAGTTTTATATTGTATAAATATTGATTTCATATGTATAAAATTAACATAATAATTATGTTGAAAATGTTAACCCTTTCACCACTTTAAACCATAATTGACTTATCCAGATCAATGCATGGAAGAGTCTATTAAAGTTACATAGGGTTGAAAGGGTTAATAACCTAATAGATCTAACCTTGTAGTCTTGCCACAATAGACTTCATCACACGTACATGTCTACCTTCTAAGTAAGTATGGCAACATATTTTTGTCTCTGACTCCCAATGGATTGGAATGAAAAGGGTATAATTGTACACGAAATAGATTTTACAATATTCCAATACTGCTTAATTTCCAGCAGAAGTGTCTGAATGTTGGTACATTGCAAGAACTACTGGAATAATATTGAATAAGAACAGGCTAATCTGTCTGATAAAACCCTGACTGGACATGTACAGTGGTCATTGGATTAAGTCAAAGCTTGAGTGTTTTTGAAATTACATATTAAATGAAAGAAAGCACTCTTTATTACCAAAAACTGGAGTTCCATTTGCTGCATACTTAACCCTTTCAACCCTAGGAAACTTTAGTAGACTCTACCATACATTTATCTGGATGAGTCCATTATGGTCTACAGTGGTGAAAGGGTTAACAATTCAGTGTAACAAAATGTTGCTTACTTTTGCTATAGTGTTTTTTTGTTGCTCTCCAGTTTCAATTAGAACAGCTGTTCACTGTCTATATATCCGTCCAATCACTGGTATGTTGAAACATTTTCACCGATTTCATTATCATATGAAGATATTTCATTAGTTGTTCTGTAAGGATATTTTGGTAGAGGTTACTTCATTCTAAGGACCTACAGAAATCCTCTTGGAACAGATACTGATAAAGCTATCCTTTATTGAAGAAAACAAATCAGTGAAACATCGTAGAATATCGGCTTTTATGACCTACCAACAGAAAATGGAGCTGAAATCTGGATTTCAGTATTGAGATTTTCATGAAAAATTACATTAAGTTTAAGACCTATCTTATGATGTTCTGATACATTGTATAATAAAATTGTTGTTCACCAATCTGACATTCCGAGGCAAAAGATACCTAGATAAATGACTGAATTATTTACCCACCCCACCCTAAGATCATAAATAGTGCCAATGTTTTGTTAGGTATTGTCTTAATGATGTCATTCAAAATGATGAGATTTAACACATATCATGGAATCTATACTTCTATTGAAGTTTCCTTATCTTGAAGCTCTGAATTTAGGGACTGTTGTGTCCCAGAGGTCACTGTTTATATGCTAAGATAAGGTCTGTTTGATCTGAACTGATAAACTGGGTTTGTTTGTACACCTGTATATAAAATATCAGCAATTATTTACTGCAATAGTAGCTAGCAGCTTTTTAAATTGTGATTTGTTGTTTGCAATGCAAAATAATGTGTTCATTTATCATGATTTTTTTTTATGTTTTGTTGATTATAAATTGATTCTGTCTCAAAAGTTAATTTTTAAACATTTTTGTTATTGTTGATTTTTTTTCCTATTATGCGTAATATGCAAATTTATGTTAAAAGATGTTGTAATAATTGCTCATGTTGTTTGCTCAATTTGTCGCCCTGGTGTATCTCTAACGGTCTCTGTCTGTACTATATAAATGTAAAATATGTTTTTGTATAAACAGGAGAAATAATGTGATTACATTGAAACTTAATATAATTGTACTTTTGTCAATTATTTGTGCAATCTTCTTTACCGTAGTACAAAATGACATGTTGAATTTAAGGGAAAACTAGTCGCACAAACATTTAAGGAGTTTTACTTTCTATACCGACAAGTACGAATAAACATGTCAGTGTTTTAAGGTTGAGGTATAAACTTGACAAAGAGACCAGTCGGACTTGAAACATTACTTGTTTGTTTACTCAATCACCCCTGAAGACACATTTGAACCCCTCCAATTCAAAGGTTGGAATAGTTCATTGCGAAATTTCAGGGGTGAAAGAGTTAATCATTCATTGTGTTTAAAGTAAAACTTTGATATACATATTTTCAAGTTATTGAATCATTTTAAAAATATTCACACAGACAACAAACGAACGACCTTTGTTAACTTAATGATGTAATTAACCCTTTCACCCCTATGTTACTTTAGTAGACTCTACAATGCATTGATCGGGATGAGTCCATTATGGTATACAGTGGTGAAAGGGTTAAAGAATATGTTGTGGACCAAGATAGAATACATTCCCACTTTAAAGTTTGCTTACATTTCCTAAATAGTATATTTTTTGCTTTAAGTTGATGCCAGTTTAATCGTTTTACTTGAATAATGTATTGGATGATGATATACTTGTTTGCAGATTCAAGATTTATTTTGATTTATTTAAGCATGAAACACTTATTTGGAGTATTGCAATTTTTTTTCAAATTTGTGGAGTAGTGTATTTGATTATCATCAGTAATTTTTTGGTGATTTCAATGGGTAAATTCGTTAGAATTTATTTGATATTATAACTTTGAATATAAAAATTCCATTATAGCATTTTTTCATGGTAATGTTATGTTAACTGTATTTTTCGTCAGCATTCTACAATCTTTTGTTAAGAGAAATGTATATGTGTTTTGCTATGTAACATGTGATCTGTAGAAGTGTAAAAAGCCACATTTTGCAGGCTTTCATTTTCCATTTATAACTTGTGATTATTTACAAATTATGTATTCAAATTTTAAATTTGGAATATTATTAAATTACAAGAATAATTAACGATTTTCGTAACATTTTTTATTGATCAGAAATTAAACATGTCATTGTTAAAATTACATTATTATATTGTACGGCTGAATATGTCTCAAATGAATATTGGATCAACAGTACTATATTCCAACGAATTTCTGTACTATGTAGGGCGTGGCTTTTGCATAAATTACACTGATTCATTGGAAACAGTACGGTTTATCTCTTTATTGGTTCCACTACATATATATTATCATGTATAATCAATTCCACATTTATTGTCCCGTTTTAACTCTAGTTGATCATGTTCTCATCAACCATATCCATAGTTCTAGTCAATATTAGGCCATTTAATAACAAAACAGTTATTTTTACTATCATGTTTCATAAATATTCATTACAAACCTATTTTTTTCTTTCATATTTCATAGAAATTCGTTGAATACACATAATGTCCACAAAAACTGCAGCAGTGACTTTTCACTTCAGTGGATAAAAAAAACTTCACGTTATTCAAAAAACTTTTCTCCATTTATCGTCAGACTTTCTTCATACTTCAATGATTCAGTATATAAAGGAGGTATCTTTTCATAATGACATAGAATAGAAGAATCGAAATGTTATTATGAAATCATCAGTCAACAATTAATTGATTGCCTCATCAATATCATACATGAAATAAGCAAACTACTTGACAGGTATTTAATATTACGAGCATATCAGTTGAGCCGATTTTTTATGACTTGGTACTTTTTTTGTCGTTATCATGTTTCGGTTCTTCCTTCAAGCACCATGTCAATGTAATGTGAGAGTAACCTGGACCTTGGCGTGTGGTTAATGGGAACATTTTAATGTAAATCAGAGTAACAGGATGTTCTCCATGTCAGCACAAACTTATCTGACACTTGGATGAAAGTAAAAGTCTTTCTCAAAGAAAAGATGAAAAAGCATGCTATACTTTGAATTATGAACGGTTTTTACTTTCTTGTTCACCCTTGAAATATGTTAATGTAGAATTGTATGTTGACCAAATGTTTTTTCCCTATAAGTAAAATAACTGCCGATAATAGGATAATAATGGAGTATGTTTTGTGTGTTAATCAGTGATCATGAATTTCCCGTTTACACTTCACGTTTTCCTTTCATTTTATAATTTTGTTGTTGTGTTGATGTGTTTTTCGGCTTTTTGTATTGTTATTTTGAAATAAATGTCTCTTTATATCTCAAACTTTAATCTTTGTTATCTATTATACGATAAAGAGAATAACGTTCAGGTGATATACATTGTAGAAAAAATATCACAATCTGATTACATACACTTAACAAAAGACAGTATAAACTACTTCGTCGAAACACAAAGGGACAATGATGATCATCAATATACAGAGACAAAATACACATCCTCAATACACACGTAGAGGTTTATACAAAATCAAACCAGCGTAGAACACAAACTCGTGTCAATACCCAATGACAAAATACACAGCAAGGTACACAAATGGACAAAATATACCACGAGGACGAAATATACCACGATGTAAACACAAATGGACAAAATATACCACGACGTAAACACAAATGGACAAAATACACCACGACATCCACACAAATGGACAAAATACAACACAAATGGAAAAAATATACCACGACGTAAACACAAATGGACAAAATATACCACGACGTAAACAAAAATGGACAAAATATCCCACGACGTAAACACAAAGGGACAAAATACACCACAACATCCACACAAATGGACAAAATATACCACGACGTAAACACAAATGGACAAAATACACCACGACATCGACCTAAATGGACAAAATACAACACAACGTCCACACAAATAGACATAAAACACCACAATGTTCAAGCGTGGAGAAAAAAAGCAAATTGTATCATAGTGTCTATACACAAGAAACAAAATGCAAAGCACGCGAGGACATGCTATACCACAGCGTCCAAGCACAATAAAACCAAACATACTGAAACGTCAGTTTGATTTGGAATTCATGACGTCAATACAAAACAACGGGACTTTGGGAGACCAAAACAACGGGACTTGGGGGACACCAAAACATCGGGAATTATGGGACACCAAAACAACGGGGCTTATGGGACACCAAAACAACGGGACTTATGGGACATAAAAACAACGGGACTCTGGGGACTCCAAAACAAGGGAACAGGCATCATGAAAAATATATAAACTGCTGGTTTTATTTTGTATAACTGACCTTGTTTCTGAAGCTTCATTTTCAACGTGTCTTATAAAATTAATATTCTTACCTTTATTTAAGATTAGTTTAAAAAATATCAATTGCTCTTGCTAACATCTTTGCCACGATCATTACATATACAGATATTCGTTTTGGAGCTTCTTTTGTAGGATACTAATGAAAATCTCGGATGTTGATGTTTAGAACGGGGTCGGTGTTTTCAGGTTTGTCTGTGAATAATTCCAACGTCATGGCCTCCAAATCAAACACAGCTGAAACAGGAAACAACACATCTATTTTATTTTCCCATAACTGTTAGAGCTGTTTGCTGGCATGCAAACCAAATGGAAGGAAACATTCACTACAGTATATTCCGTAAATATGGGTTTACCGCATTCGATCCCGATATGTGTCGTTAGTTTGATTCTTATGGTAACCAGTTCATGTATATTACACACTATTTCTATAAGGTAAGAACACTGACTTTAAAGGCCGTGACCTGGTTAGTATCTTGGATTTATTCCGGCAAGTTTTACATGAATCATCCGCTTACCAATGCATTGTGTGTTGCGATTAAATTTTGTAAAGTTTTAAATGGCTGTTTAATGCACATTTCTCATTACCCTGCTCTCTACATACATAACACAATTACAGAACATTTTTAACGTGAATTTGCATTGTTATGGCGTTTATGGATCAGTAGATAACGATGTAATTGAAATACTCAAGAGAAAACGTGTCAAGAACAAAATGACAGGGTACTAGCCAGTTTTGAAACGTTGCAACACGTCTGATAAAATAAATATACAACATTTGATATAGCGCCCTATCTAGCTAACTTAAGCCACTCTAAAGCGCTTTACAGTACATAGATATATAATTTATACAGTCAATACAATTAGCATATACATTAATCGATACAATTCTGAGGAATTCGCTGGAGCTGCCTTATCAGGCGCCAACTACCAGTCCTATGCCACCTGGCTAATATCTCCCTATGCATATATGAGTGTATGCCTGCGTGTGTGCTGGAGATGTATTACGTTCATTGTCTGTGTTTAAAGCAACTCTTTGATATTGCATATTTCCAACATGATGATTCTTGTTGAAGATATTGCCACCATGGGGTCCTGCAGGAGTATGTCAACAAACAAATCCATATACTTACCTACACACGCCGTGGACAGGTAGTCCGGCTTCTCGCCTGTTCTAAACACCGGGAAGTCTTTGTTGTCCTGATTTGAAAGAATCTCGAGGATATCAGACTTTTCTATGCGTCTACTTGTTCTCCTCCTCCATGCCTCCATAGCTATTTGACGTTGTATAGAACTTTCCTCTTGGTAATGTGGCACAGTCAGGTGGTGAAATCTGTATATAAACAAGCAGGTTCGTCTTCCAATAGGTTTTTTCCTTGTTACATGTCACTTCTCAGTAAAACGTTATGCCGAGGGATATATGTCTAGTGTTGTTTACACGTTTGGTCCTTGTTAATTACACGAATAAAAAATCGAAGGGCAAATGAAAAACGTTCCTTAACTTTTGCTTAAAATTGTATTAAATAGTTTCTTAGTCATATATTCCAACAAGGATATTCGGAATAAATTTGCTTTCTACCCGTTGGAGGATTTTTGCAACCGTCCTTTAATACACGTGAAAAGACATGAAAAGAAGTTGTCTGGGTTACACGCATATATGCTGAGTCATATTCGTACACGTCATATTCTATCTGTCAATATCTCAGTGTTAGCCTACAGTAATATTTTGGAGAGCTTGTTTGTATAAACCATTCGAAACAAGAAAAAATATGAGGGAGTGCAAGAGGGGAGGGGAGGAATGATGAGATAGTCATGGGGGAGAATGATATATTCAATATTGCAGAGAGAGTCGGAGATAGACAGAGACATGGATTATTATATCGTGACCACGACCACTTACAGGTTTGTGTGTGTAAAGAAGTCTGTACATGGAGTGATACACTTCAGGGTACCGTCCGGTTGTCCTGCTATCTCTATACAAGAACACACCAGACCTCCAGACGTCTCGCCACTGCTGTCAGAGGCGGTATGGACCAAGTTAATGTTATAACCGGACGCAATTCCTGTTCACGTGAATCAAATTACACTTTAATTTAATTCACTACTGAAAACAAAAAAAAATCTTACCTATATTCGTATACCCTTGTTGATCAGGGTATCGACTGAGACTTTTCACAAATCAAATTTGGTCCATCTTAGTGAAAGGCTAATGTGATGTTCACTTCGCCACCGGCCAACCTGTACAATGTACACTTATATCACCCGCATGCAAAAATATCTGGTCAATTCACTAATACAAACAAATACTTTTATACCATTTGGTAACGTTTACAGGGTGGCACATGCAGCTCCTGCAATTCACGGGTGTTTTGCGGGGGTTCAAGATGTCGGTTCTATGTGTATTTTCTTATCTACTTTGAAATCTGAGAGGTTTAGTTTTGTCCTTGTATGTGGATTTTCTTTTATTATTTTTTATTGCTTCTGTTGACACTCAGATTATATTCAACTTGTAATGTCCTCGTCTCCACGGGCTACTTGCCGCTTATTGATATGTGGGATATCAGTATCTGCCGTGAAAGGAGACAAGTTCATCGTGTCTGAGACCGTATGTGACTGACGTACTTGTATCTAAAGAATACACATGGCTAAGTGCGCTGAACGACACGCTTACTACTTCGGAGATGTTTATGGGGATAATATGTAATGTCTCGTTTTGATTTTATACCACCCCAGATCCTTCAAGCTTATGCCACTCGCCTCGAAAGTCCATTCTACTCTAAAGTTATCCATAAATGCACCTGGATCCTGTACTTCTTCGATATACTGACGTTACCAGACCGTTCTTTTTTAACAGATTTACACTGCGTTGAGTGTTAACCCTGACTCATTAACATGCATACATAATATCTTCTGCATCTTTTTATTTTTCAGTATTTGTTATTTTTTTCTGAACAATTACTGTTTTGTTATAAGTATTAACTTAACCAGTGTCTTTGGTTGGTTTTCCTGTTATCAATACAAGTATTTATGATTATCCAATGTTCTACACTTACCAGGTGCCTTGTTTATTATTTCCATGGCGTCGTCGAAACTTTTCGCCGAGAGAATAGCCCGCATGACGAACCGCCGAGCTATAAATAAATATGTAGGGGTCAATTAGTAATATCATTTCCTTAAACATTGCACTTAGTAATGCATAGTTCTAATGCATGTATTTGTTTTGCGGTTTTCGTTGTTTATGATATGTGTTGATTAACTTTATTTTCACCTATTATAACTTTTACTTTTCAAGTTGACGATTGACTTTTATTTTGTTATCTTTATTAAGTTTTGTCTTCTTCTTAATGACCCTAATGACCAATTTTGTGTTGATTGGCCGTTAAGTGTTCGATAATATAAATAATTCATCGACTTTATTTGTTTTGTGCTGCACAACACAACCTAGGATACTATAACATATGGATGTGTTGGTAACTAGTGTTATCCGTAACTTGTAATACTGTCATATTAACAATGCCGGTACATGATACAAACAACATGAAGCCCTGATCGTCTGGATTTTCTAGGTAATATTATGTAACGAGATTCCGTAAAACAGGAGGAAATAATATCTTCCTATTTCCTGTCAGGAAGTAATAGGACCTGCAGATACTCGAACCGTCGATTACCGGAGATATAAACATTTTACATTTAAATGCAAACCTAGACTTCGTGATGTAAAGTACCTTGCATAAAAGGTAATAAACCACGGAGAGATATGAGGAGAATAAAATGCAGCAAGTCAATTGGTTAAAGTGCACAATAAAACACGTAACAACGTCTCCTAATAGACCTTTATTGAAGGTAGACAGTTCCAGACATTGAGAAACACGAGGAACCGTCTGAGGATTAAATACACCAGCGACATTCCTTTACACCAATACTCTCTTAATTAGGCATACGTTCAAGACGTATTCAGGTTTGATCAATAATCTGTGCACCTCTGTTCTGTAAGAAAGCTTTGAGTTTAGCTAAATGTATCTCATCAAAATTTCACACATAAAACTCTTTTTTGTGTGTGTAAATAACCAGTTTATCATTAATGTAAAACTTGGTTCACAAATATGAATTGCATAACATTCGCCTAGAAAAATCAATCTGCAATAAATTGACTGAAAATGAATTGAAAAGGGGGTCGGGATAGTTTGGATAAAAAGCAAAAACTGATTGAGAAAAAAAGACAGAGATAATAATAAATCATTTTTAGTAAGGTATATAAATATTTCTATATACGTTCTGTATATAAATGTGTGTTCCACAACCATCTGACTGCGATATAACTATATTAATGAACCAGTTCTCCTTTGATAACAAATCCCTTTGAAACAGTGATACAGCTAGGTATACGTGTTACGAGACACTTGCATAGCTTGGTTATGAACTGTAATCGGGTTTGGTGTACACTAGTGATTGTAACATAACATATCATTACAAAGTGTGTGAGTATTTTGATCCCAAACTGGAGCACAGCCGACAACATAAAAACGGTCATATTGTGTAAATTCTACAAATAAAACACATTACTTTTACGAATTATGACAAGACTTGTACAATATATCTGAGTAATAACGTTAACTCTGACTTGGCAGAAAAGGAAATATTTCGCGGGACCTTGTCGTCTAAAAATACATAGAAAGGTTGGCCTAAGTACGTATCACAGTCAGCTTACAAAGTATCCATACATTTTCGATCTTTATTGTCTCTTTGTTTATGGTTTGTATTGCTGTTTTTCTAAGAAATTTAAAATTAATAGGTATAATGAAGTAACTAGTTATCTTCTGATATACAATTATTTCATTCTTAGATGTATTTTTCCGCCATATGATATTTTCTGCTCTGCCTCGTCTTTGATTCAATAAAACAATTACTGGATTGAAATGATTGTGTCTTACACAGCGGTGGGTGAATGTGCTTCAACACTAGATACTAGCAGTATAACAATACTCACGTATACCCGATCTGTTTACCCACTTCTGGTATACACTGTTGCCCGTATACATCAAATCTGTTCCCATTATACTGATCATGTTTCCTGGCATGGAACCTGTCAAACAAAGTGACTCTTAGTCAGAAACTAACTCTTTCCTGTCACTCTAGCTCCTGTTTTTTTGTTTTTTGTTTGTTTAACGTCCTATTAACAGCTAAGTTCAAACATATTTTAGGTCGTGCCTCCATCGGTGCTGTGTATGCGTGCTTGCGCGTGTGTGTGTGTTTGTGTGTGTGTGCAAGAGACATGGTAAGTTGGTGTATTTGTCTCCTTGTGATAGCGCAGATCAAATGCCGACTTTATAGTGCTATTCCACTATAATACCATGCCGAAGGCATCCAGCACACATTCCACCCAGTCACATTATTCTGACAACGGGTAAATTAGTTGTTGCCCTACTCTACATGCTGAACGTTAAGAAGAAATAACAACAATCATTTTTAGGACTTTGTTATATCCCGGCCTGGGGACAGAACCCATTGCCTTCCTCACCTGGGCGAACTTTAGCCTCTTTTCTCAAGTTAAATTAATCTACGTAATTGTAATGGGTGGCACTGCTCTTCACGATCATAACTGATAACTGGGTTGGTAAAGCGTTCGTACCAATCAACGGTTGTCACCGGTTCACATTTGTCATATACAATCCAGATTTTTAAGATTAAAACTACTTAATCTGAATGTCTTAGGTATGGATATGTTAAATAAATCATACAGGACTAACAACCGGATGTATGTTTAACTCATTCACCCCTGACATTTCATTATGAACTATTCCAACCTTTGAATTGGATTAGATCAAATGTATCTTAAGGTGTGAATGGGTTAAGAAAGTGAATATTTCCCTCCTCGTCGAAAACAAGGGCACAATACTAGCCTTTTGGATCCGAGAGGATTAAGCCAATGGGAAGTAGGCCTAACCAGCATGGCATTTACTCAATAAGCAGTGTAAATCATGTATCTAAGAAAATGATATACTACTTTTATATTATGTGAGACTTTTTCAAAATTGATGAGATATCGGATTTGTGTATTATATATAATGTATGCGTATATGATACCATCCCTACCAATCATTTGTAAATATAGGCGTGTATGTAGAATGAGATTGGTTAGCGTACAGACATTAAACTTACAATTGTGAAACAAAGACTCTATTTTCTAACATTTTCTACTGTGGAGATCTAATCTTTTCCTTCTTTGCAATACACTTTCAAACGGAGTTATATAACATATTATGTTCAGAAACTTTACTGGTATCTATTATAAAAATCGAACTTATTTGATATAATAACAAATAAGATATCCTGTAAGACATATATTCTACATATTTTAGATTGTCTTGTATTTACTTTTTACGATATTTTATCACATAAGTAAGGTATCTTATATGGTTTTATGAAGTACAGCACGGACATTGTTCCCTGGAAATATATTAAGCCAGCATACCAAAAAAATAGCATACCAAAAAAAATATAATAATAACCACAACAAAAACGGGTGAACTCGTGTGTGCCGGAATGATATAAGATAAGGTTCACATTCTCTAACATATATAAACAAAAAAGACTGTTCTATACTAAAACAATCACAAAGTTCTTCCGTAGAAATATAAACTAAATATGCAGGCTGTACGGAATAAACTAGAATTAAGAATAAATTGGTTGGATTATGTCAAAAAGTCCAACAACTGTAGCCGAAACAAACTGTGTTACCAATAAACAATCATTAACAATTTGTTTACGTAGTATGAATTATGCAGTGATAAAAGTATATACAGTATAAGTAAGAGGAATGAAATACAGTTAGTTGGTAGAAGAGGGAACATATTTTTATGAAGACGTAGATAGATACCGGCTTTGGTGAACGACAGGAATCTCTCTTTCACTGTTTTACCATCCAACGTATCGGTGATGTCCAAATCGAGCCAGACGCTGGCCTGTTTCATCTGTGGGCATCCATCTTCATTGTGTGCCAGCACAAACTACAATGAATATTAAATAGAATGATCAAGGCTGAGTGTGACCAAAAACACTGTATTGCACGCACAACAGGACAAACATGGCCAAGAGCAGGATACAGGTTACATGGGGAAGTTGCGTATTATTAGGGGGGAAAACAAGAAAAGACTTTACTGTCAACAAAACCATACTTCGAACTCATCATCGATAAAACTACGGCAAAATATGAGCATATGAAAGATACAAGGAGAATAAGACCATGTGTTCCGATGGTGATGATGTTTGTTCTTCCTCCAAAAATATCTACTATTCAGATGTGCTATCGTTTCTTCATATATGATACAAACGACCTCTACCACGGAACCTTACTGACAGTTATTTTATTCGGATTCCTAATAGTGCTAATATTCACTGGGTAATACTGACATGAAATAATTCATGTTTGCAATCGAATGTTAGATAAGTAATAAACACTCGCGACCGTACATCATCGACCTTTCAATAAAGTTCGTCGGACCGTTTATCTTATTGTTTATATAAGGCGTGCCGTACATCAGATATACTAAGCGGAAAAGTCAGAATATAGAGTTAAGGTCATTAAAGATAAAAATTCAAAATTCGCCATACGTTCGTTTGTAAGTTTTCGAAACCATATATTCCGTCTTTGCGTATTGCAGAGTTATCTTCTCTTGGGAGCAGGTATTGATTGTTACGTGACTTGTTTGTGAGAGTAACGTCATCAATTTTTGAGAAAACGACGTAATTTTCTCGCACAAGCCAATGACGTAACAATCAATACCTGCTCCCAAGAGAAGATAACTCTGCAATACGCAAATACGGAATTGCTGATGCCCCAGTGTAAGTACCAATTTATAATTTTTAATCACAGTAGTAATACTTTACGCAATGCATGCTACACTGTCTGACCTACGGTGTTGGTATCTGCGTTTCTGATACAGATGACTGTACAACCATTGGATTGTGGGTAATGTCGACATTCGTCCCCAGGGGGCGCCACCTCCACGACTGAGTTGTCTCCGTACAGGGCCGTCAACTCCGGCTCAAGGTTGAGAAGGAAAAGCTGAAGGTAGAACAATTTCGTACACTTAATTTGCATAGGAATCGTAAGTCATAATGTCAAGGTTAGTATGGTACTATGACGTTTTATAAACGACAGGACAAATCATTGTGCTACATTAATCAACTCAATGTGTGGCATATGTCTTTTTATTGTAGTTGGGATTTTATTTGAAGAAAAAAATTGATAATCAAGGAATACTCGTGGTTTCTTTTATTTCGCCGGTATGGTTTTGGTTGAAAACACATACATGATGTACATGATGTACATCTGCTTATTTGAGAAAATATTTAATATACTAGTATATTTGCTTATATTAGGAGTGTTTAAAGGTTTGTGGTTTTATATCTGGAAATTGTTCGTGTAGTTTTAATTTCGAGGATCGCCAACACGGTAAATAACCTTGGTTGTAGATTGTTAGATCGGGTGTATGACTTAGCTCTTATCATTGGACAAAATATACCACAGAGTCAGCACTAGATGAAACAATATGGTGGCCTGGCAACGTATATACGGGAAACACTTTCACGGGTGCTACATGCGGTTTTGCCTCCATCATTTGAAGGTATATATAGTATGTTTCGTTTGTTAAGGTCATTGGAGTGTATTGATCAACGGAAATAGGAAGTACATCCCTAATTGAAAATCCAATGAAGGGAGACAGAATCACAATTTCCGCATATTATAAAGTTTAATATTAAACTGATGAATATTATATGTTTATTATTGACAGATCAGTGTGTTCTCTCAATATTAAAGTATTTCAAAGCAAACAAGGCAGTAATTCAGTTGCTTTTTATCAATGAGTCACATGTGTCCATTTTCTGTACTTCAGGAAACCGGCTATCTATTTCACTACTGTGAAGTTTTTCAAGACAGATAACTCTTACATGCAATTACTATGTGTATATGGTTTTATTAAAAAATGTCAATTTTGAATCGTTTATAGATAATTTATTTTACACAATTTCAGCATCTATTAAATTGATATACATTAATGCAATACTAATCTATAACAGTATTATTTTTATTGACATTATTTTGCAATTTCCATTTAAAATCCTTAAAATTCTGACAACCTATATTTTTTTGAAGGCAGAACATTTTCTTTACTTCAAAGCAATATAACTACAAAATTTGAAGAAATTCTACTGAGAAATGGTGACACAATCCTATTACCTTAAGTGTTGCCTCGGTTGCTGTTCTTTTCTCGTAACGACCTTTAGTCTGACGTTTTACGTTTTTGTTGACCATGCGATAATTTCTTATTTTTTTTACTACAAACTATGACACTATTTTGACAACAAAGCACATTTTTATATTCAAACGTTGTTTGTCAAAGGTACCTAAATTGCCCACCATTAAAGTGTGTGTAGTCCTAATGTGCGCAAATTACAAAAAGGTTTCTGAACATGTTATCTAGCAGCTATCAATGTTATTTATCGACTGATGTTATGCATGTACAAAACTATATAATAATAAACACATGTTAAATGTAAATAAAGAAAGAAAATGCACTGTCTAAAAGTAGGTCATGATACTAGAGTCGTACCTTTTCAAAATCTACCCCAGCACCATCAGCTGTTCCTTCTAACTCCCTCCGGTAGAGTGGGAAGTGTGCAGTAACGATGTCGAGGAATCCCTCGTAAGTTTTTCTCCCTTCGGTGGAATCTGTTAGTTGTTTAAGACTTTTGATATAACCGTCCTTCTCGGCTAAATAGTCTTGGATTTGTTTCCTCATACACCTCCCCTTAAACGACATCAAACATATTGTAAACGTGTCAATTATTGCACGAAAAAATAAGATTTTTTCAAACAAACTACTGACAATTCCTCTTTCTGGTTGGGGCACCTACTTCATAAAGTTCCACATGCAAAGTTGTTAATAGTTCATGTCTTTTACTTCCATTCTGTACGAAATGTTTTAGTTATAGACAATCAACACCTCTGAAATAACCCAACTAACTTTATACTAGACACACGCAAAGATTTTCAGCTTAAATTATATACCCATCCCTGTGATATTTATCCACGTCCCTGTGATATCTATGTGTCACGTGTGATATTTACCAGCTCCTGTCCTACGTCATAGTGACTTCCGGTCAGCTTGAGAGAGGTGAAAGATGCCGTGTCACTTTGATATTTCTCCATTAGATGGTCACCGTGCTATTGAGGAAATAACAACAATATTACATATCCTAGTAAACGTTTCCATTGTAAAGCTCCGATGCTATGGCAGAAACGAAATAGAAATATTCACACTAAACTATTACAATAGAAGTCCCTTGTGTTGCCGACGAAACGAAAACACGTTCGTCTTGCCTTATTTAAAGTATAGTGTTACATTATAATTATGACCACCGTCACGGAACGAACAACCTACACCACTATCACATCTTAATTTATACTCCCTCGTTACGTGTCCATTTTACGAGGCAACAATAACTACATATCTATTTTGATGTAACAGCCCACAAAATACTTGTCATGGCGGAAACTCCCAATACGTTTTCATTCATATAGCATCTTACCGTATAATTCTGGTAATCATATATGGTGCAAAGTTATCAGTTTTTATAATGTCAACGTTATCAAAACCTTTAAAACCATAGTAACTCGACATCTTGTATGACAGTGTATCGGACATACCAATGTCTTTTCTTGGTGTTGTCTTTTCGCATTGAATTTGTTCTTCTTTGTGACGCTTTCGTTTGTATTTATAGACGACCTTATCTACATTAAGGTATTATCGAGGAGCCATGGGACCAATCCCTTTTGCAACAGCTGTTCTCAAACGAGGTTATAAAAATGTCCTTATCATGATTACCACTCAGTCCTTTCATATATAAACTGAACCTGTCCCGGTACAAGGCTATCACTATTATACAGTTGTTGGTATATTCATAGAAAACATGTATTTATTTTGCTTTGTTTCCTTCTATCCCTCTCCCGTGCGTGTCCCCACCTCCCTTCCACATCTTCATCTACTTCCAAATATATATCATATGGAGAGCAAAACTGAAATCTTACATCAAATTATAGAAGTACATACAAAACGCATCAGTTTCGAAATTGATACACATTCTCCAAAATATGTTGTGTTTTTGCAGATTAAACATGTTCTTGCAAGAGGCCAAAATATCTGCATTCGCTGGTTTTTGTTTTTGGTAACTGAATATATTTTCTATTTCCACTGCGCTTTTATGGGGCGTTCACACAGTGCATATTACGGCTCCCGTTTGAGATCAGACAGCGCTACAACACGAAAAGTGAAACAGTCGGATTACTATCCTCAATGATCTGGAATGTCCTATCATTGTCTGAACGCAGTCGTATACGTTCGTAACAGAGTCCTACGGATCGGGAAAGGTTCAGACAAGTCGGCCAAGCAATCCCGACAGTAAGGTGCGTCCCGTAACATTCGGGAAACTCAGTCGATTTCGTCTAGTCGGATTACAATCGTGACTATGTCGTGACAGAATCTGCTGTATCGGATCAAAATCGTAACAATGTCCAGTGTTGTATGGACGGTGTCATGTGGATCTCGACACTGTCATGATGAACGGGCATGATTTGGAGGAATTTTTATTTCCGTTTCTTGCCGATTGAGTCGGATGACTTTCCTCAATGAATCCCGCCAAATCTAGCACAACAATCAAGCTCAATGTCTCATGAGAATCCTCTTTCGATCCGGGAAAACAAAAAAGAGGTACATGTTTACACTAAAAAAGTTGATATTTGTATGGAGCTGTCATCGACATAAACATCAAGTTGATTTAGAAATCCAACATCAATCTACACCATTATCACTAAACATATGTTACACAAGATGTGTTACATATACTACCACTAACGGGGTCCTCGTACTACATTTGTTCGATGTTTTCCTCGATGCATCCCGGCTGGGTGCCAAACGGTTCAACCCTTTCACCATGAAAACAACGAATAAATACCAATACACTGAAATCGTTATGAGCCTTGTCGAGAAAATTTACTTCTGGAACCAATGACGTTTTTCTACGTACTTGCTTTGGCTGCGGCTAGGTATACTGATCTATAACAGTGCTGTCTTAGGAGTTTGGTCGAAGTCTCTGGGTACTGATCATAGTTACATTTCTCTGTACCTGCGCCGGCCATGCTCTATTACACCAACCAAAGTTTCCTCTAGCCCTGACACCTGACTTAGACATTTTGACAGATAGATGTCTGGTGTCAGGGCCAGAGGAAAGTCGGGCTATATCACACTCAGACTTATGTCCCACAGTCCTGAATCCCCAGTGTCTCTCAATCGTGTTCTTTATTAAATTTAGTATATGTATAACTACAGAAGTAAGTGAAATTGAAAACCGAAAGGTAAATGTCCTCAACGAACTCGGAAAAACTAGATGGTACTTATAACTTATCCACGAAACCTTGTTACATTCTCTGAAACCAGCAGACACTCGTGTGTTGATTTAAACATTGGCGACCACAACTTTACCCGAGCTATTGACAACATTAATACAATTAAATCACCACGACCTGATGCATTTCTCCAAAAACCCTGTTTTCCGTGTGATAAACAGTTTCACAAACGGTTAATTTCTATTTTCCAAAAATTTATCGATGTCGGCAAAATATCTGATAAGTGATGGATAGCTACCTCGACGTCAAACTGACAATCATATATTATACTAATATAAGGGGGTGCGATATCTAGTGTACTGATCTATAACAGTGCTGTCTTAGGAGTTTGGTCGAAGTCTCTGGGTACTGATCATAGTTACATTTCTCTGTACATGCGCCGGCCATGCTCTATTACACCAAGCCCGAGTTTCCTCTAGCCCTGACACCTGACTTAGACTTTTTATAAGTTTTGTAAAAATTTATATTTTAGAATATATGGAATTAAAATACATTTAAGATGCTGCAAAAATATAGAATAGAACTAAAACATATAAGAAATGAAATAAGACAATAAAAGTATCACACAATCCAAAATGTCAGGTGGCAGAGGTTACCAGGGCACAGTATGAAGTATCACTCTTTGCCGATATTGCAAAGGCAGATGGGGCCATCCCAGGAATGGACCAGCCTCCTGAATGTTTTAAAACTTTCAACTTTTCGGAAGTAATTTGGGAGACTGTTCCACACCCGGGCGGCCTCAAAAGCAAACGATTTATGTCCATACTTCACAGTGTTGACCCTGGGCACCTCTGCAGTATTTTCCTTCATGAAGTCATAATTAGACATCTTGATATTTACAAGATTATGAATATGAAATTTTGTTCATAATTTTAAAAACCTCACCACCCATTTCCTTCAGACGCCTTACATGAAGCATGTCGCTGTTGGTAATACTGAGTAAGTATCTGAAGGATGAGTTGTGATCATTATATATAAACCATAAAGCTCTTTCTTGTATCTTTTCTAGCTTTCTGACACTCTTCATGGAACAAGATTGCCAGACTATAGGACAGTAGTTAAATTTGGAAACAATAAAAGAATTATAAATTACAAGTCTACCTTGTTTGGTTAAAAAAACTCCCAATTCGTTTTAAAATGGACAATTGCCTTGAGGTTTTCCTACAAATTTTAGAGATATGAGCTTCAAAGTTTAAAAATGAATCAAAGTTCACACCTAAAAGTTTGACAACACTGTCAGGAACAATATCTATTTCGCCAATACTAAAAGACTGGAATTTATTAGGGTTTGCTTTCATCTGGTTTAATTTAAACCAGTCTATTAGATTTTGACAGTCATTTTCAATATCATGTTTTAAAACATCTGGGTCTTTATTTGACTCACTGACAGTGCTGTCGTCTGCATAATTATATAACTTACAGGACGTACAAAAACATTAAAAAGCAAAGGTCCTAAAATAGAACCCTGCGGTACCCCCTTCAGCACTTCCAGCCAGTCACCGCATTTGGAGACATTTTTTACCTGCTGCTTCCTGCTGCTCAGGTAGCTGGACGCCAGGTTAATTGAGGCTTTGCTCATGCCATAGGCCTCCAGCTTCCCGACCAACAAGTTATGAGGAATACAGTCAAAAGCCTGGGAGAAGTCCATCAGTAAGGCAGCGACATACTCATGGTTGTACAGGGCTCTACGCGAATCCTCAACGAGTCGCAACAGGGTGGTTTGACACCCAAATCCTGGTCGGAAGGCTGCAAGGAAAGGATGAAAAACAAGTCAGCAAGTTACACTATCGAAAAAGAGTTAAAGCTACAGGTTTACTGCACTTATTTATCGATTTATCGTTGTTCCACTCACATCCGCTTTTCACAGTTTCTTTATGGAGTTGTATGGTTATCAGACCCCTACAATTGCATAGAGTTTCTTCCTGTAGTGAAGAGGACTAATTTCATATTGTGTATAAAAAAGTGAAAGATTACAAGATGTTATTAAAAGTCACCTCGTCTGTTTATCAATTTTCTCCTTCATTATAAATAAAGCGTTTTTCTCTCACAACCACTGTAGGTTTTCTCTCTCAAGACTCATTGGATAAACCTGCTAGGAGATGGTAAACATTTCTGGTTACCAGTGGGTAACACCCTGGACGGAATTTCATTAGTCAATCTTTGATTTATTACGTCACGTAACAATGCTTTTCGACGTCATTTTCCATTGTTACGTCATGATCCATGGCAATTGTCTCCCCCCCATCGGAAACACACATGATGTATATTCCAAGGGGAAAATGTGGTTTTTCAGATAGAATAAGAACGTTATGGGGAGAAACAGGTCCCCAAACTCGTAATGACTAGTTATCACGTTTATCTACCTCTCGCTAGCTAATTTTTAAATTTAAACAAAATAAATATTATAAAAGACACTCAGTTAAACTCGTGTCTTTATACAATTTCGAAGTTTGACTAAGTCGAGTTAGATAAACATGTAACTGAACACAACTCGTTGGGAAACCTCTATATGTTCTGGAAGTATATATTGACGGGTCGGGTGATTACGATCGCCGTAGTCTTACTGATACTGACCTTTCATTAACAATATGTATACGTTCATATTTTTTGCCAAAATATCTACTAATAGTAATACGTTTATGAACACAACATGTGAACGTATAAATTCTTTCAACCAAACATGTTTTATAAGTACCGAGATTTATTGCCAATGCGGGGTGTGTAGTCTGTAACTGGAGATGGTTCTGAGATACACGCCACCTGGAATTACGAACTCTCAGTGGAAAGGTGTTCCAAAAAGGTTAGTTGCGTCTATAGTCTATATTCGTTGTCTAAACATTCTGTTTAAAATCCTGGCACATATCTATCCTCATTTTGTTACTAGATAAGGTTGTTTATCACACTGTGTCTGAGGGTATACATTGTTCTTTTGAGAGGAACACCCTTCTTGTATTAAGACAAAAGTATTGCAAACAATACAAAAACCTTCGTTTCGTTATGCTTCCATTTTAAATATTACGTAAGAAAAATATGTCTGTTTTACTTGAATTATCTGTCCTTATTTTAAACCGTACGAGTGTCTTCGCAGTCTCTCTCTAGTCGCACCTTCGTAAGAGATAATTACAAAGCACATTTCATAAACAGACGAACCAAACACAGACAATCTTAACTTTGTCTTCACAAATTAACAAAGTATGTTGGCATGTTTTGCCATAGTTTTACATGTAAGAATAGTTATCAGATTAGCAGTCTTAATAACAGTTGAAAATTATACCGACAATAGACAATATTATGGGGCGAGCAATTATTTGTTTACAACTTGTTCTCTTTGTAAAGCCATTCAAGGGTAACGTACATAAAAGTACAGATAGATCAAATATAAAATACGTACGAGCGTACGTATAACATATAGAAGTTTAATAGAATCCATCCCTGATGTGAGGTATGGATAAGGTTATTTAAACTCAAGGAATAAAATATTGAGCAGGAGACCCGAAGCTTTACCGAGTGTCTTTTGCTCAATATTTTATCCCGAGGGTTTGAATAACCTTATCCTTACCTTATATCAGGGATTGATTATATTTCTTGCTTATTACATTAAACCCGTAAAAACAGCTGCTTTTTCGTAAAGTTGTAACCTGTTCGCACATTTCTCATTTGCATATGAAGCCCGAATGGCAATTGTTAGTGACGTCAATGACCCTGAATGACTCCAAAACGTCATCAAATGACGTCACGAACAATAGCGTGACCCCGAAAGGTCACTTTATTTCCCCCGCCAGTCTGGCGTGTAAGCAACCTAGATCCATGAGTCGGATAGAATTGTCCAGCAATGCCGGAAATGCGGATATCTCGGTCGAGTATGCAAATATATAATTTAAAGCAGTTACCCATAGATCCTTTATGACATGTGTGATATGTATTTGTGTATATTTTATTGAAAGGTAAGGCTTACATAAATACATATGTCCATTTGTCAGAACAGGTGTGAAATTCCCAATTTATTGAAGCCAGAAGACAATTCGGTCATAGCGCCTTCTCAACTTCAACGGACAATAATTCTGAGACTACGATGTTTTATGCAAAACAGGCTGCCATTTGACACTTTTTATATATATATTTGTTAAGATCACAAAGAATATTTAGATACAAGTCGGATTATGTGGTATAGAACAGGTACATACCTTGATTGTAGATCTTATCATTCTGTAGATATCCACTATCACTGCCGACATGCACAGTATCTCCTGGGTCGTCTGCAAAAGGTCGAAGGGAGGGGTTCAACCACCGGTCGTGAAAGACCTAGATTAAAGAAGCAAGTGCTGAATCGAGCTATCGACAAGATAAAATACACAACATTTGATATAACGCCCTATCTAGCTAACATAAGCCACTCTGAAGCGCTTATACAATTAATACAATTATCCAAAGAAATTATCGATCTACCGCGTGAAGATTAAAAGAATGTAACACGCTTTGCTGGCGTGTAAATATGGCATTTTATTTACTTTACATATTATATACGTTTTCCACGACAAACATACATGTACATTATTGAACATGATAGTTTACTCACGTATTTCAAGCTAAACGCAGAAAATGGTTTTATGTAACCTCAGTAAGTATCTTTCATGGACAACAAATGTCGGAATACAGTAAAACGGGATTCAATTACAGTTATCTCTACTCGATTTCATATGCGGTAATAGTGTTCTTAAAACAACATTTGATCGACAAACGTTTTAATACATACTTGCTCATTCAAGTGTGTTCACTTCAGATTATCTTTACATCTCGCATGTAAAAGTTCTACCTCTAAAATTTGATATTTAACAACTTTGTGTTCTTTTAAAAACTGTTCTGTTTTTTTATGGCATCCCTTTGTCAATACAATAGGCAACAAAGACAACACTAACATGTAAGCCTGAACACTAATTTTATTAAAAACAAACTATGCGATTTTTGTCGCATGTATAAATAATCTGTAGGTCTAAGCCAGAGAAACACTGGGCTCCCCAAAGGAGTCAATACATGTCCGACTATTATTCGGTCATTGATGTGGCTAACCGGTTCGTGATATTCCGACCGGTTAACCGGCTAACCGTTGACAACCCTACCGCAAACTCTTGCTCGTGTTCAAATTACGGTTTTGTTTGCACATTATCATTCTCTTGTTATGTTTTATGGTTCAACAAGCCCCTAATAGATCACGTAGTCACCCTAAATGTTAAACCCCTGGTAAGTCATATTCAAAGACCCCAATTAAAAATTGGAACTTATAGATGTAATTTCAATATATTGAACTTGTACATTGGCTATAAAACTATACATAGCCATGTTGACGTGCATGAAGTCTAAAATAAGGCTTAAGACTAACGTCTTCATAAAAATAGTCATCGGACATGTAACGTGTAAATCTCTTTTGCGACACAACCGAGTGCTAATAAATGACATATATTTTCTAGTTTATCTATATATCTAAGTATATATCTAATTTAAATTTATTTCCCTTCTTCTAGCTGTCGAGAGGAGTTCCAACATAGCATCAAGATATATGTCGCCATGCAAAACCGCTAAAATCATAGTAAAATCCCCTGGTAATATATTTTTGTAGACTATAAATAAGAAAACAAAAGCTTAGTGACCTTGACTTATAGACGACCTTAAGATGCTGTTCCATGTGATAGCAGTTTGTGGTGTTATGAAAGCACTAGACATGTTATAAACATTGAAACTGAAAAGTACGAAAATGTTTATAACATATCTAAATTTTAATATTAAATGTTAAAAAGGACAGTTTGTATGAAGTCTATGTAGTTGTTATTGTCATAAGCTATAGTTTTACACATATGTCATAAGCTATGGTTTTACACATATATATACCAATAAAATATGTTACTCGGATATTTTGCTATTATATTTGTACATTCCTATTCCGTCTTTGCGTATTGCAGAGTTATCTATGAGTACCATCATTTTTAATTTACCTGTAGGTCAACTTATTTAGACCGTGGTCATAGTCTTTTTCTTAAAAAGTGTCTGAGTTTCAACACGTGAATCTACATCTAAAACTTACCTGTTGGAACTCAAGCACATATATTAATATATTATTCGTATTTTCTTTGTTCCCCGATTAATTTTCTTAAGTTTTATGTTTCATAAAATCATCAAGGTTAACATATAGATATTTCACATTATTATAGTTCCAATACAGTTTCAAATAATGTCTGTACCGTTTTATAGGAAATAATAATTTTGCAGCAACATTCATTATTTTAGCAATCTCGGAGATATCAGCAGGAACTTTTATTTGTTCCAATAGCATATCTAATCGTTGTTTATATGTGTATATTTATATTTGCATGGCATTGTCACTATATAGCCTCTTTGAAAGCTGTGTCGTTCATGGGACTTTAATTACCATGCCGCACGAGACA